CACACTCAATAATGGAAGCTGAATGCTTTCCCTCTAATATTAGGCACAAGTAAAGGTGACTGCCATTGCCATTTCAATTCATCCCAACACTGGCAGTTCTAATGGAGAGTCAAACAAGAAAAAGTGAAAGGCAGCCAGTTCTGAGGAAGAAACACAACTGGTCATCTCTGTTTAGAAATGACATCATCTTTCTGTTTAGAAATGACATGATACAAAAAATTCTAAAAATTTCACCAAAAAATCCTTTTATAACCATAAATTCATCTAAAATTATAGGATCAAATCACAATGTAAATCGATTGGGTTGGGGTGAGGGAGAGACAGGGTTCTGCTATGTAGTTCAGGCTGGCCTTGCAGCCTAGGCTTGCCTCAAACTCATAAGAATCCTCCTGCCTAAGCCTTCTGAGTGCTAGGATTACAGGTATGGCTGTCACACCCAGGTAAATCTATTGTTTTTCTATGCAATAACAGTAAATTACAATATCATTCTGAATGGGAAAAAGCTGAAAATATCCCCTCTAAAGTCAGGAAAAAGATAATATTCACTCTTGCCAGTACTGTTCAATACTGTACTTGAAATTTTAGCCAGAGTAATCAGGCAATACAAAGAAATAAAAGAACCATATCATCTACAACAAGGATAATTTGACGAGGAGAGAAATAAGTCAAATTATCCTTATTGTAGATAATATGGTTCTTTACATTAAAAGACATAAAAACCAAAAAGCTTTTAGACTTGATAAACGAATTCAGCGAAAGTATCAGGATATAAAAATCAGGAACAGCAAAATAAACTACTCAATTAAAAAACAAAGTCTTAAATAGCTATTTTTCCAAAGAAGACATAAATGGGCAACAAGCATATGAAAAGGTGCTCAACATCACTGAACATCAGGAAAATGCAAATCGAAAACATAATGAGACAGCACTTCACACCATGAGGATGGCTAGTATCAAAAGGCAAGTTTTGGGGCACAGATGTAGCTCAGCAGCGCAGTGCCTGCCTGGCAAATGTGAGGTCCTGAGTTCAATTCCCAATACAAGAAAAAAACAAAAAGATGAGTTTTGACAAGAATGTGAAGAAAAAGGAAACTCTTAACACTGTTGGTGAGAATGTAAATTTATGGACAACTTAAGGAGGTGCCTTGAAGAATTGAAAATACAACTACCATATGATGTACCTACTCCATATGTATATTAAAAATAAATAAAATCATCATCTCAAAGAGAAATCTGCACTCCCATGTTCGTTACAGCATTATTCAAAAAAGTCAAGATACACAGCCTAAGTGTCTATCAATGGATGAATAGATGAAGAAACTATAGGATATCAAATGCAATGGAATATGTCAGTCATAAATATAGAAGAATCCCTGCCATGTATAACAACATGAATGAAACCAGAGGACATTCTAAGTGAAATAAGCCAAACCCACAAATATTACACAATATTATTTATATGTGGAATCTTTCAAAAATTAAACTCAAAAACAGAGAAGAGTGGTTTGTAATGGCTGAGGTTGGTAGGAGAAATGGGGAAGCAGGTCAAACTGGCCAAAGGGTAAAAACTTGCAGTTTTAGGATGAAAACGTTCTGAAGACCTAAGATACAGCATGTTGATATAGCTAATAGTAATATATCATATACTTAAAATTTTTCAACAGTAGGTTTTAATAGTCTCACTGTAATAAAATAAAAAAGGAATTATGTGAGGTATAGGATATATCAATTAAGCTGATTAAGCTGATTAAGGTAATCATTTCCCAATATTTATATATCAAAACATCACATTGTATGCCTTAAATATATATAATTTTCATTCAACAATTATACCTCAATAATGTTGAAAAACCTTTCAAAAAATTAAAATGGAACCACTATGACCCAACACTCCCACTTCTGGTTATGTATCTAGAAGAATGGATATCAGGACCTTGAAGACACTATCTGCATTCCCACGTTCACATCAGTATTATTCACAGTGGCTGAGAGTGAAATGTCCTTCAACAGATGGAGAGATAATGAAAATGTGGGGTATGCATCCAATGGGATGTTATTCAGTCTTTAAAACGAAGGAATTGTGTCAGATGCTATACCATCGATGAACCTTGAGAACATCACTTGTGTGATAGGTGAAACAAGACAGTCAGAGAAGGTCAAACATTGTATAATATTCCACATATAAAAGCTAAACTCAAAAACAGAAAGCTGAGTGGCTGCTGCCAGGAGCTAGAGGGAAGGAGAAGTATCTCCTTCCCACATCTTCAGTGGATGTAGATCACTTAGGTGTACAGAAGGCAAAAGTGCTAGAGAGCTCCTCTACAATTAATATTGTGCAATTTACTTAAAGATTCAAGGAGTGTATTTCGTGTTCTGTTTTTCACCACAAAAAAGGAAGGAATAAGGAAGTAAAGGAGGGTAAAAGGGAAGATATATCCGGACAACTGATCTACACAGCAAAGCAATTCAGTAAAGAAAGGTAAGTATTTTCAACAAATATGCTGGGATTACAGGCATGTGCCATCATGCCTAACTACAAAGATTTCTTTAAGAGAACATAAAACACTGGATGATAAATTTATTAAATTCAATACATTTCACTAAAAACATTTGCTTTTTAAATGATACTGTTAAGATAATACAAAGGCAAGCCACAGAATGGAGGAAAATATTAGCAAAACATATATCTGACAAATATTTTATACACAGGAGATGGAAACTTACAATTTTATTAACACAAACAACTCAGTAGTATAAAAGAGTTAAGTATACATCTCCTAAAAATGCATAGATAGCAAACAAGTACATGAACAGGTGCTCAAATCATTAATCATTAAGAAAAGATAAAACTCTAACACATACCTATTAAAAGGTAAGGCTAAGATACTGCATGTCAAATGTTGGTGAGGATATGTAACCACTGAAACACTCATACACTGCTGCTACAGATGTAACATAAAATAGCACAAGCACTATATTACAACCACTAGAAGATAGAGAGGGAGAGAGAAAAGAAGAGGAAGAAAAGGAAGGAGGACAGAGAGAGGAAGACAAAGTTTAATGGTTTGTTCAAAAGCGAAGTATGTATCATCATATAACTTACCCATTTTAAAGCATACATCCAAAAAAACACTTATACAGAATGTTCTTAGCGGGTTTATTCGTCACAGTCCAAAACTGTAAACAATCTTATGACTAGTTCTATACCCATACGATAGAACACTATTCAACTATTACAAAGGAACACATCTCAGAATAATTCATGCTGTATGACTGCATTCGTTTAAAGTTTTCATATTGTACTATGTATTGATTATGTGAATAAAACTGTTAAATGTACATCAAAAAATCTCTAAAACTATAATATATCTCTCTGCTAAAATATTATGCTATAAAAAAGCTTTCAAAGAACTTCTAATAACATGAGAAAACATTTATGGTATATAATTAAATATAAAATTATACTCTCACACAAAACTAACATAATATATACAGATAGACAAAGTTCTGGTCAGAAATAGGCTATATTATTTTTCCCTGGGATATGGAATCATGAATGATTTACATTTTCCTCATGATTTTCTCAATTTTGTAAGCTTTTTTGGTTACTGTTGTTTTAATTTTATATTACCTTCATTTCACTTGATCTCACAATATTCTTATAAGCAGTAAAAATTTTTAATAGTGAAGGAAATAACTTGAATAATTATTTGTCCTGACAAGTAACTGCAACCTGTGCAGCCCAGGTCCTGGAACCACCAAAGAGAGACACTGCAAATTCTCACGAGGACCAGCATTACCTGCAGACTTAGTCAAACTGAGTGAACTTAGTAGTTCACTCAGATGAACTACTATTTTTCAGATATACATGGTGGTGCATTCCTGTACTCCTGGCATTCTGGGAGGCTGAGAAAGGACTGCAAGTCTGAACCAGCCTAGGCAATTCAGTGAGACTTTGACTCAAAAATAAAAAAGGGAAGTAGATCAGTGCAAGATCCTGGGTTCAATCTCCAGTGCCACAAAAACAAACAATAACAATATGAAATGCTATTTTTCAAATGTTCACAGATTAATTATAATTCAACCTTACTGAATTCATAGAACCTCTATTCCTCACATCAACAGATGCTAAAAGTTAAATGACCAACACAGAAATTGTCAAAAATGTATTCTCCCCTATTTATTGTCTACAGGCTGTTTTAATTAATATTTCTTCTGCTTCCATACTAGCATGAAGAGTTAAACAACACATCATTCAATTAACAGAAATTCCATTACGTGCTCCTATTCCTCTGTTATGATATTTCTTTTCTTTTGTTGCCTTTGAGACATGGTCTCACTATGTAATTCACTTTGAATTTACTTTGTAGCCCAGGCTGGCCTCAAATTCACAGCGATCCTCTTGTCTCAGCCTCATGAGTACTCAGATTACAGGTGTGTGCCACCAGGCCCAGCCTCTGCTATGACTTTTAATTACGCTCTAGAAACTACCTCTTTTCTAACCTGCCCTTCCTCATATTGGTTATTTTTTTGTTTGTTTTGTTTTTTTTGTGGAACCAGGGGTTGAACTCAGGACTTTGAGCTTGCCAAGCAGGTGCTCAAGTGCCACTGAGCTAAATCCTCAGCCCCCTTCCTCATATTGTTAACATCCCCGAACAGAATTGCAAGTTATAAAGTAAACTGAAAGTATAAAGTAAGTTAAACAAACTGAAAATGCTAAGTATCCAGAAAGGCCTTATAAAAGTTATTTCAGTTGAATCTGAAGAAGCCTACACATGTACAGTTAACATTACTAGAAATACGCTTGCTAATTAAGTGGACCATTACCATACTGCACCGATTTGGGGAAACTATTCAGTGTGTCCTAAGGTTTCTAAAACTGCTTCACAATAATCCTTCCAGAAATTAAATTCAACAAATAATTTAATTTTCATTATAAAATATATTACAAAAAGCAGAGCTATAAGTTACAGTAGACTATTTAATAGTTTTTTGTTTACCTCAAAGAATTATTCTCTGCTTTTTGTCTGCCAAGTTCACTCTCAGTATCCATTGCCTTTCTTGCTAGTGATTTCATTTCTTTTTCCACAGTGGTTATGGTTTCTTTCATCAAAGTCATATTTGACATTTGCTCCATCCGCTCGTCATCAAGCTATACAAGCAGAATGACAAGGTTTAAGATTACTGCCATCACTACAGAAGTCTCCCGAGTCTTTCTGCAGAGACACCCTCCCACCATTCCAGCTGTGGGTTATGAGAAACGCTACATGAGATGACCAGGAGAGGCCTGGGTGCTATGGAGATGTTATGGATAAGGCATTACGTGCCTGTAAGGAACAAAAACTGGCCACTGCATGGTTTTTCTACAAAGTCTATCACAATACACTGGTTTACATGTTTCACCCTGATTCAGTGTGACTATACCCTATATATTCAAATCGCAAAAGAATTTGTCATCCACCATTAATAAATTACAAATGAGATTATGGGGATAAGTGGGATTATGAAAACAAAAACTTTCTCCTATGGAGTGTTTTTTAGGTACTATAACAAAATACTATAGATAAGTTTATGAAAGTATTTAAATGACAACAGAAGTTAAATACACTTAATCCTGCTTATATAGTCATAACACCTCAAATATATGTCCACAGCATCTCAAGTTCTTGGTATATTAATATTTGGCAATATCATTTTTGACAGTACAGAGATGACAAAGTTGCTAAAATCCCTCAGAATACACCCTAATACGTTTTGTAAAAGAACACATTTTGCAACCAAACACACAAAAAGATTTACTCATATTTTTGGAAGGAAATAAGTAAAACAGTGATGATTTATACTATACATACCACTGTAAGTACTTTAGGACTACAAACACTATCTTATACAAATAAAAGAACTCTGAACACGGAAAAGAGGAAAGCGAGAAGGTCACTGTGCGGCTTTCATAGCCTACTGTGAGTTTTTACATTGTGAACTGTGCACTCCAGCTCTTCTATCCTTTGTTCCAAGTGGGCTTTCTCATTAAATGCTGTCTCTTGAGCAATCTGTTTAAAAAAGAAAATTAAAAGAGTACTTCAGTGTCACTAATTTTGTGTTTCACATGTGTTTAGATAGATAAAATTCCTGCAAACCTTTAGCCTTTCTCTCAGACTGTCTCGCTCTGTGGTCATTCTGCGTAAATCAGTGAAGGCTACATCTCTCTCAGTCTCCACTCGCCGGAGAATAGCATGTGCTGTTGTTGATTTGGGAGACTTACAGTTTTTCATCATTTCTCGTCGAAGTCGGGCAATTTCTTCCTGAGCCTGTTATTTAAATACAGCGATAAAATTTTTTAAAAAGCTTCAAATTAGACATAAATATAGCCATTTTATATTGAGCCAATTACAATGCAAACCTCTACTAATATGCATGCAGCAAGTATGTTCCTTTAAGGCAGTTTTTTATTTTCAAATGAGTTTATACAAATAAATACAAAAGAATGTATTTAAATAAAAGTTCACTTTATAATGCACTTACCAAACATTTTAAATAAAATTAATCTGGAAGATATCATTGCATCAAAGAACGTTTTGCAAAGAACTATACTTAGTATACTTTGTTTATCTCTTTTGTGGTAAAAATTTGAATGCACAATTCAGGTATAATACTGGTGTGGTGATTTTTTTTTTTTTTTGTGGTACTAGGGATAGGGGATAGAACTCACAACCTTATGCTTGCCAGGCAGGTACTTATGCCACTGAGCTAAATCCCCAGCACTGGTGTGATGAATATTACCATAGTGTTTGCCTTTCTCTACTGAAGTACATTTGCTATTAGCATTTGCTGGTTACGTTTGCCCTTCCACTCATCATTCTGTGAGAGCCCAACATACTCTCTCTGTTCACTTGTTCAGTGACGCCTCAGTCCCAAATCTACTGCATGCTCGCAGATGACTTCAGAACCTACTTCGCTGGAGAAGTCTCCTTATCTTTTTTCCTCAGTATTTGGGTCCCCATCTATTCAGGTGGTGTCTAAGAAAGACCCAAGAGTTCCCAATTTCTATAGCTAAGCCTTCACCAGAACTCCAGAGCTCACTTCCTAAAGTGCCTTCCTTATAAATTCTCCCAGTTTCTAGTTATTTTCCTGACCTTGAACAGTGCCTCTTCCTCCCCTCCCCTGAAACCCTGTCTTGAAAACCTGTCATTTAATCCTGATGCACAATTGGCATGTTTGTCTCTTCCCCTGATGTATTTTTTTAAGTACCCACTGGAATAGTTCCTTACCACCCACTCCTCAACCCAGTGTACTCAGGCTCCCACCCCCAGCATAGTCTACAGAACTTCAACAAATGAGCTCTCCAAATCTAACAGCCTTTCCTCTGCTCCTGTTCTTGATATTCTGGCAACATCTGATGATGTTTTCACCCTCCTTTTTCTTGAGTTTTCTTCCTCCCTCAGGCTTGTAACATCTCAGTTCTCTATCTCTTTCAAAAGCTCCTCTCTGCCTCTTTAACTACATCTTGACCTCTCTGCTCCTTTGGGTAGACCATTCTCATTGAGAATTTATTTACTCTTCTGATTCAGAACTCACCTCTAAGCCATGACTTCTAAAACCACACACTCACCTCCTGCTGTCTCCTCACTCCAATACCACCCGAATGTATTACTATCATCTGGCTCCATCTGTCTGACTGCAGTCACAACTTTTCCCTCAAACCACGAATGTCTTTCTTATTTCTCCTTTTACAATCCTCTGAGTCACTCAGGACAGACTTTGAGATATTCCAGTTCGTTCCTCCTCCCTAAGCCAATCTCATTGAGTCTCCCTGCATGTTTTCTGTGTGTCCCTGGGTTTGTGTCCCCTGACGGCACCCTCACTTGGTCCCTCAGAGTCTCACGCAAGCTCCTGGAGCAGGCTTCCAAGGAGCTCATGGTCTTATCCTCCTCTAATTCCCCCAAAGGAGTAACTGTTGTGCAAGAATAATATAAGACAATTACCTGAGAGTGAATAAAAGGTTGTCACTGGGTTAAAACTGTAAAAATGCTACTGTAGTCACATTTCTCCTGCTTTAAATAATAATAAATTGTCCACTGATTATAAAACAAAGTATAAGTCTTTAATTAGGTTCACTGCACAACCTCTGCCATCAAAGTCCAGAAGATAATACACTATGTGAGCTCACAGAATGAAGTGAGCCTGCTTCATCTTACAGCTCTGTAAGCTAAGAATATACACATCTAGAAGTGAACATCATTACTTGTTTATTCATAAATAAGAAATAAACAATTTACCTGTTCATAAAGAAGAAAAGTCTTGTCTCTTTCAGATGTAAGAACCTTGACATTACCCTGAATTTCTGCCAAATGACGCTCATATTTTTCCAACATGCATTTAAGTTCTTCACGATCTCGTGTTGTTGACTTCAAAAGCTCTACATCACAGTTGGCACCCTTCAATTATTATATAAGAAATCTGAAATTTTTCTTTTCAGCATATGGTATAAAAAAACTGGTACTGATGGCAGTATATTATCTGCACTTAAATATGACTATGTAATAAAGGGGAATCATGAAGAATAAATAACAAAATCATCTTTCTTTTATAACAGCTTCACTCCAAATTGTTCAAATTTGTCTGATTATTCCCTAAACATTATTTATATTGGGTATAAAGAACCAATATTCCTTTTTTCATAAAGGAGCATGTCTCTTTCTTTTTAATTGAATATAATTGCCAGACAAAATCATACATATTTAGGGTGTGTAACATGACATTTTGAGATATATATACACTGTGAAGTGATTATCACCAACTGTTATGGATTACATTTAGATGTCCCCCTAATGCCTCCTGGGATCACAGCAGGACCTTTGGAAGGTGACTGGATTATGGGGGCCTATACAAAGCTGTTGATGTGCTGTTAGGAGACACAGTCTGGTCAGAAGAGGTGGGTCACTGGTGTGTGACCTGGGAGGGTTTAATTCCCTTCCTGATTCCTCCCTTCACTCTCTCTGCTTCTTAAGATGCCATGAGGTGAGCAGCTCTCCACCATCCCCCGAGCTATACGGTCCTGCTGTGGAGCCAGTCAACCACGGACTGAAATGTGAATCAAAATAACCTTTCCTCCTTTAAGGTGTGTGCGTCAGGTACTGTGTCTCATTGAAAAAGAAAGTGGATCAAGGCACTAATATACCCCTTTCCTCATATACTCATAGCAATCTTAATTTCCTCCACTTAGAAATACTTTATAGTAGCACAAGTCAAAAACCACTCAAACGAAAAGAAAAACACGCTCAACATCTCACTCCCAGAGAGAGTTAAAGCAGATAACATCTAGAACATCGGTCTAGATGATTTCTTGATAGCTCTTTACACAAACTCATTTTTAAAAATAAAAATTGGCAATGCCACGGATACTGTTTTATAACTTGCTGTTTCTCTTAATGAAGTATAGCAGATACCTACGATAAATTCATGTTAACATCATGGTATCTTAATGATATACAAATAACTTTCCCACCCTCACCCTTCCCCCTCCCCTATTCCCTTCTTCCTGTCTACTCCCAGTCTCCTCCTACTTCCTACATCTCTTTTAGAGTCTGCATAGTAGAGAAAGCATGAAACACTTGTCAGAAAGTCTGGCTGATTTCTCTTAACACGATGATGTCTAGTTCCGTCTGTTTACCTGAAAATGACCTAATTTTGCTCTTCCTTTTGGCTGCATGATACACTACTCCACAGTGCATTTACACTACATTCAAAGAATGGACAGTCCCATCCACTGTGCCATCGAAGGGACACGTCTCTCCACCTCTCTGACACAGCAATTCATGCCAATCAAAATGAGTTAGTTCCAGATTAGATAAATCAAAGTATAAAAGTCCGTGTGTGAACAACAAACCCCAAAGTATTTACAAGTTTCCAAGCTTACCCGGGAAGATGGAGATGGGCGTCTTGGGCTTTTAGATCTGTTTCTGAGCATTTTTCTCAAATGCTGAGCTTCGCTTTTGTAGTAATCTCTGTCTGCTTCTAAAGTCTTGACAAAGGAATCAAGTCTAGAGGGGGATTTATTTTGTGCTTTTTCAGTCTCTAAAATTATCTTGCCAAGGAGGAAAAAATCAGACCATTATCTCAAGCTAAATTGTGGCATCCTTTTCTAAAAAAAACAAACAGGATCCTTAAAAATACTCAACTTGTTATTTTAAAACTAGAATATTTATTATTAAAACATTCAGGAATAGTTTTTAAAAAGCAATTAGATACTTTCATTTTTTACTTCTTGGATGTGCTTCAATTTTTCTTGACTAAAAGAATCCCTAAATTTACTCAATAATTTTGAAGAAAAATATTTTTTAAAAATGTCAGATGCCATAAATGTGCCCAGACCTAACACAAATCTGATGAAAGGAATTAATTTGCTTTAGAAAATCTTACATGCTATCATTAAGATATCTATCATAGTGTTTGAGTTTTGCTCAATAACTGGTCAGTGAATTAATAAATTAAAGGATGTTGACCATTTCATACTTTCAAGTGTATTTCCATGGACTTCCATTTGTTATAATATATTTAAGAAAGATTTATTTTATAATTTTTAAACATCTTTACATTCACCAATACTTTATTGGAAGAAATTTATAAACGTTTTTAAAGTATTTCAAATATTTTAAGGTGAAAGTTTCTGTTGTTGTTTTGTTTTGTTTTTTGTCTTTTTGAGGCAGAGTTTCGCTATGTAGTTCAGGCTGGCCTTAAACTCATGGTGATCTCCCCGCCTCAGCCTCTCCAGTGTTGGGATTGTAGGTGTGTACCACCATGCCCAGCTAAGGTTAAAATATTCAAACAAAGCAGCTGTTATATCAATCTTATAACTTAGAAGTAAGTAACAAAACATATGATTAGAATATTTATTACTAAGGTCAATTTAATGTGGGACAAATATGCCTTATATTTTGAGAATTAAAATCTTCAGAGCCATCATTTGAAATCAAAGAACTGCTAAAGACATTAATAAAACTAAACAAAAGTTGTTCTTTCTCCCTAGGAAAAAAAATTGTCTATGCATACATACACAATATACTTTTTTCATAGCTTACTAAATATGAATGATTCCTTAACATAGATTTATAAAAAATGTACTTACAGACTTAAGCCTCTTTATTGTATCTTCTAATACTGTTATATTATTTTGTTGATCTATAAGTTCAATCTGAAAATGAGAAACAATTTCTTTTACTGTTGTTACAGATTTTACTTAAACTGATTTAATTGGAAAGAGCATCAAAAAGAAAGACACTTTAAAGTAAAAACATCATGACAGTGAAAGTTTAAGAATAATATAATCTACCACTTATGTTTACCCACCTTTAATGACAAAAAAAATTCAATGAAATACAGCAGTTCCTTCAAATTACACAATGTTCTATACATGATGCTTCATGATACAACTCACAGTATCAGTTTCATGACACTGAATACATCCAAACTTACAGTACTATTACCTTAGAAATCTATATTCAATGTTCCTAAAGGACAGTAAATTTTTATGCAATGCAGTAAAGTTCTCTGTTAAAAGGTAGCAATTAGTTTAATAAAAGTTTTATTTATCTTTTCCCTCACTATTCTAAACTAAATTTATCACAGTCTTGTCTGTTATATTTTAATTTTGAATTTTCTTGAATTATTGGTCTTCATTTATTCTTTAAATCAAAGTTCTTTTCTGAGATTTCTCTCGAAGTCATAATTAAGTTTACGAATTGATCTTACTGTTTGGAACATGGGTTAAAGCTTAGATAACCTGATGGTTTGGAATAAATAATTTTCAATATTTTAATTTATCACACTATTGTGACACTACAAAGAAATGAGAAATGGTTCTAGTACATACAATGCATAAGGATGTCCATACTAAAATAAGTATGGTGGACTGACAACTGGTGGTCAACCTGTAATAAATATTAGTTGAATGGAATCAGCATGGTGCTAAGTGTACATGGCCGCCTGAGGACTGTTGCCAGCATAAAAGGTGACTTGGAGAGGACGAGCCGTTGCTGTTATTGGTGTTGTTGGTTCTCCTGTTGCCATGGATTCTCCTGGAGGAGCTTGTTGACCTTCTTTCCTGATATGAACTTGGCTGGTATCATCAGAGGAGCTCGGGACCTTATTGTTGCTGAGAATGGCTGCAGTTTGCTTTGGAGGAGCTCTGGTCCTTACGTTGAGCATCAATTCTCTGGCTCTGGAGAGGAAGATGGTGTGCTGCTCAATATCTAGAAGAAGTCTGTTGTGCTGGATTCCTTAGACGAACTTGGCTATTCTCATTGGTGGAGCTTGGGACTTCGTGATCACTGAGGGTGGCTGTGGTACTTTTCAGGGGAGTTCCGCTTCTAACTTTGAGCATTGCTGCCTGGCTCCAGTGCAGAACCCTCAACTTACTGGCATAGATCCTTCACTCTGCTGACACAGACTTTCCAGCTTCCAGTGCAGATCTGTGAAACAGACTTACACGAGTCATTGTTGTGGGCTCTCGGCCTCCAGGTAGACTCATAGGAAACTGTCATGGGCTCTAGGTCTTCAGTTGGACTCATGAAGGATATTACCACGGAATCTATGTCCTTGACTGGATTCTCTAAGTGTTTAGTACGTGGACAGATTGCCTGCACTTTCTTTGTATTTGACTCCTTGGGTGACTGTTATAAGTAATACTATAAATTATGTGTCCTCTATTGTTTTGTTTTCCTTGCAATCCTTAACTACAACATAAAGTATACAAATTTGGCAAAAGAGAATACCTAGTAGGATACTTTATCAAAAATAAGTTAGTGTTTGATTTGGGAGCACATGTAATAAAAATAAGTCAATTCACATTCTAGATATAGGTAAAATGTAACCAATGATACATAAATAGGAAAAGATAATGACCAGGAATCTCATAGCAGATTCTTTTTCACTATACTTCATGGGCTGAAATTCCATGGGTCTGACTATTTAGTTCAGGCTGGCCTTGAACTCATTATATAGCCCAGACTGGCCTCTAACTTGCAATGATTCTCCTGCCTCAGCCTCTCAAATTCAGGGATTACAGAAACGTGCCACCACATCCAGCTGCTAACAGACTGAAATTTTTATAATAAACATGGATACTTCTGTATACTTGTGATGCCTTAGATCAAACCCAGGGCTACACATATGCCAGGCAAGCACTTGACCACTGAGCCACATCTACAGCCGTACTTTTATAAAGGTACACAGTGCTGGGTGGGGTGGAGCACACTGGTTATCCCAGCTGCTTGAGAGGCTGAGGAAGGAGGACTGTAGCGCTAAGGCCAGTCTCCGTAAACTCTTAGCAAGACTCTGTACCAAAATAAGACGAGGATGTATCTCAGTGTGCAGGCTCTGGGTTTAATCCAGTACTGGATGAAAAAAAAATACTGCTGATTCCCATATGAAAATCAAAATTATAACTGGCTCACATTTTTTAAAAAGGACAACCCAATTCATTTATTTGACAGTTACTTAATGAACACTGATTATGTATCCGTCACTACAATATGTGCTGAGTAAAGAATCAAATAAAAACCTCTGCTTTCCTGGAGTTTACATTTTAGTCAAAAGAGAAAAAAACAGAAGATAACAGAAAAATAGCTGACTGATAGCAATCCCATCACTGAGAACACTTATACAATGAGCACTCATGTATCTGATCTAGGTATTTAAGATAACAAGGTGTACCAAACAAGTGAACAACACCCTTGCCTTTGAGGATCTAACATTCCAACTGGAATAGACAATTTAAAAGTAAATTTAAAATAAATCATCTAGTACATTAGCAAGACAACAGCAGCACTAATGAATTGGGAATGTTTATGGAGAAACTGGTTGGAATACGAAATAGAATGATTAAGAAGCACCGACTGAAAGGTGGCCTTTGAGTAAAGATTTGCGGGAGGGAGGGAAGTAGTCATGTGAAAATGTGGGAGAGTATTCCAGGCAAACGTTACAGCTATTGCAAAGGCAAAAGAATGTCTGGTAAGCTCTAAGCGACAGTAAAGGGGCCACTGTGGCTGGAGCAGAGTTAAGAAAGGGGAAAAGGACCATGAGTGAGAAGGAGGTACAAAGAAAACTAAAGCAGACAAAGAGAAGAGAGTGTGTAGGGGTCTACGGGAGGTGGCTGACAAACCTGAATAGGCCTCACACTGTGTCTTCCCCATGGTAGGCTCAGATATAACTTCTGATTAACTGAATCATATACAAAAGTAATGAGGATGACAGGGATATCAGTGATCTATTCCAATAATGACCCCTGTGTCAATTAAAAATGCAAACTTTACGAAGAAACTAATAATGGTAAAGTTGGAATTGTGCTTCTTCACATTTCAAAGAATCATGCAGGGCATGGTGGACACATCTGTAACACTAGCTACTTAGGATGCTGAGGCAGGAAGATTTCCAAGTTAAGGCCAGCCTGTGCAAAACAGCAAGATCCTGTCTCAAAAAAGATTTTTTTTGTAATTCTAGAACTCGAGAGGAACTTGTAGGGGGATCCTTGGAAGTCTGAGAACAGCCTGGGCTACAAAGGGAGCTCAAGATCAGACTGAACTGCATAGTGAGACCTTGTCTCCAAAAGAAAAAAATCAAAAACTCATGTTTAGCTAATTGAGATATGCTTTATTAAGACATGAATGAAACCTCACAGTGAGGATAAAGGAAGGCAGATGGCTGTGGTAGTTGTGAATCAGATGTAAAATAGCAATATTCCTTCCTTCACAAGCAGCTCCTACTCTCCTCCCATGGGGGGTTATATTTAATGACTCAGTTTGAATGAAGAGATTATGATAAAAGTGATCGTATTTAGCTTTTGGGTTTTCTCCCGAATGCATTTCATTTCAAGGATAAAAAAAGAAGAAATGAAAAAAACTACAACAAGATTTCAAGCCACATCAATCGGGGGCAACAATGGTACATTCACTGCACACTGTTATCCCCAAATCATTCACACAGAGCACAAGACATCTACATTCCATTGTCTGAACAATACCAGAACAAATCTTTCCCTTCAGTGACTCAGAGAAATCAGTAGAAACTGAACTATCTTAACTGTTATTTTTATATACATACACATATACACAGTTTTTCTTTCAGTTTGTCACACTAAGGCAACCATATGATATGTACAGTGTGTCTTATTTATCTCACCAATGCGTATGTTCTCAAGATGCATCTATCTACCTATAAGTCTCCAGTTAATCCTTTATGGCTGAGTAGTGCTCCATTATATAAAAATAGCACATCTTTTTTTACCCATTTCTACCCACTGATGGGCATTAGGTTGTTTCTATTACAAACTGACTTTTATAAACATGGGTGCACATACATCACTGCGGTAGTAGTAGTATTTTAATTCTGAAATATACCCAGACTCCACAGGTTTCTCCTTGCTGTCTCTCTTGATCATACAGACCCATCAGGCAACATAGAAAGAAGTCCACTCAGCAAGGAATGGAGCCCTCCTGCCAAGTGAGCCATTTCCACTACCAGGCAAGCCATGACTGCAGCTGGCCCTCCTCTTAGTTGTCGAATTCTGCTAACCTGGAAACAGAACCACTTAGTTCAGTAGCTCTTGAATTCCCAACCCATAAAACCTGATCTACAAGTATCTATTGTTTGAGGACATTACAGTTTAGGAGTAATTTCTCACATAGCAATAGATAGTATAGTATACACTCAAAACGTTTTAGTGGAAGAAGTTACTCTGTTGATTTAGAAACATAACCAAAAGTAAATGCTCCACAGCGCCTAAGTTTAACACTACATGTTTTAGCAGTTAGGGGGCAGTGTCAATGTGACTGACACGTGTCAGTCAACGTGTCAACGTGACTGGGACAGGTTGGGTGCACTTCCCTAGTATCTGAGTGGTCATAGAGGCGTGACCTTGAGGGTGTCCCTCTGGTTACCCACCACTTTGTCTCTGCCACTGTGCCCCCGCTGTGTTTCTGGGACACCATGAACTAAGCAGCTTTGCTCTGCTGTGCCCTTCTGTCATGATGTTCCTGGCTTGGAGCCAGCTGACCAGAGCCTAAATCCCCCTAAAACATAAGCCAAATTAAATCTCTCCTCCTTTAAGTTGTGGGGGTCAGATTTTGATGTCAACGACAAGAAAGCTAATATAACTATTTACATCAATTCCAGGAGAACTTTATAGCATCTTTGGCCTACTTCCACATATTATAGGGCATTAATCTCACACACTGTAGAAACCCAAAATTCTTTGTCCGCAATCATACAGAAATTCTAATTTCAATCTCCATCCCAAAAATTAGGCAGAGAAAACCTTATAATTTCTTTTGTAATGTTTGGATGATAGTCCTAAAATGTAGACCCAATGACTTGGGGATGATGACACCCATTAGGGTTCATACTGCATGTACAGATATTGGTTGGACATATTTCTAATTCCCTCTTTACCCTTGGAATTCATTTAATGAGGTGATGATTTCCTCATTTCAGGGCATATACCAGTGCAAAGCACCTGTTTCCACCCTGTCCTGTATTTAATTCCCCATGTTCTCCCTGAATCAGCCATCCTTTCTCCATGACTACTGCCCACCTCTTCCTCAAAAGCCTGATTAGCATTTTAATTCTGAAATATACCCACCATTTCACTTTCCTAGAAATACCTTCTTAGCCAAAGTTTTACGTGTAAATTTAATATTTCAGGTAAATCCTAGTTCACATACTTTGGATGTTTTCCATTCCTGAAATGCTTCATTTAAATAGCAGAGAATCCACCTTGCCACTGCACACGTCCTTTCTAGAATATAAACCCTAAGCAATTCTTTAGAATGGATACATCTAAAAAGGGCACTGCACTGTTGGAGTTCAGCCAACTATGCTTCCCGCATTCTTAGAGCAGAGTTACCCTTTAATTCTAAGAAAACAAGACATAATAAAACTGCTAAATTTGATAACTTTTTTAAATAATTTTTTTTGTCTTTTTCTTTTTATCGGTACCAGGGATCGAACTCACGACCGCCTGCTTGCAAGGCAGGTGCTCATGCCGCTAAGCTAAATTCCCAGCCCCCTTGATAACTTTTATAATTAAGATTAAAGCCTGTTCCATTTACCATTAAACTATGAATCAAGAGTAACTATTCCTAAAGTAACAATGCAGATGTTTAAAATACTCAAACTACTTTTAAGTGTCCTTCAAATATTTTAGTAGAAAGTAAATCATTCTCCAGTTTAAAGCAACCCACTATTATATACTTTCTTAAGTCGTTCTCCCAAGGACCCCTTGGGCAACACTGTGAGAGGTAAAAGTGCCCTTAATACACTTCATGTATCCCATTAGTATTTGACTTTCCACTTTAGACTGATTTATCCTTTACATAGTATAAATAAAAGAGGTTACTGCACAAAAACTGTATGATCCTACAGCTCCTCAACAGGGCTTTTACATTTCAATTTTCTATAACAAATAATGTCTCACTAATAGATTCTCTGATGATTTACTGAAATAAGTGCCTTATTATATGCTACAGGACTCAGGACATTAGAGAATATTTATGAAATAACATGTAATAATGATTTGCTTTGGGAAATTATCTTATTACACAATTTATTAATTTTATGCTAAAATCAGTGCAAATAAGGACAATATCAAATGTTATCATTTAGAAGTTCGGTATAGGTGGTGTCCTGCTTGTAAGTCATTAGGAAGTAATGATAAATGAAACTGTCTTCATTTTATAATTGTGTATAAATCCCAAATTTCTAAATTTCATGGCAGAGAATTAAAATTCAATCAAAAAATAAAATGTTTATCAAAATATCTCAAAACTTTAATAAGTAAAACAATATGGCAATGGTGCAGTAAAAGACAAAATCAATGAAATCAAATTCAGAAACATATTCACTGAAATAGAAGAACTTAGTATCATTTAAAAAAGTATTTCAAAGCAGTGAGGAAAAGAAAGGGGTAATCAACTCTGCTTCCTACTAGAAGAAAAATACATTGCAGAAGTATTAATAATTAAGACTTTTAAAATACATTAAAAGAAAATTTCATAAAATAATTTTCTAATTCTTGGGAGTGATAAGACCTTCTGAAGAAAGAACCAAACTCTGAAGTTTAGAATTATTAACCACACAGAAATTTAAATTGGGGCAAAAATCTAAATTAAAAGTATGAAATAAAATTGAAATAAGTTGTATGTGAGCATAGACAATAAACGTATTCTCTGCAAAGAGAACCTGGGGAAGGGAAGCAAAACTATTATGTACATAACATACCTGTTGTTTGAAGCTTATGCAATGAATATATACGATTTAGAAAACTGTTTTGGGGAGTGATGGCAAACCTTTGAGTACTTTCAAAGATTACAAACAGCTGGTTGTGATATAATGACAAACCTAAAAAGTATCCAAAGCACGAGAATGTCATTTTTTTCATTATATTTAATAATTACATGTTTCAAGTAGAATTAAAATCTTGATCAGTGGTAAATCTAGCAGTACCTTTGCTTCTTCGAGTTCTTTGTCAGCGGTATCCACCACAAAATTTTTCTCTTCTTCTAGTTGCTCTGCTAGTTGGTCAATTTTAATCAATTCTTTACAAAGATGCTCATTGTGGCTGGTTAAATCATCTACTTCACTGCTTACCACCTCTTTACTATCCAAGAGTTTCCTAACATATTCTTCCAAGCCATGATTTGTCTGTTTGAGATCTTCAATCTGTTACAATTAGAGAAAATAATCACATTAAAAGATCTTCTTAGCTTCATTCTGAGGAGAGTAGCCAGGTAACTGGAACAGAAAGGGAGATTTGTTTCCCTGGAAAGGAGATCTAACTGTGTAGCATTTTGTGCCTTCTAAATTTTATACCATGCAAATATATTACCTATTCAAAAAATATATTAAAAGTTTAAATGGTACTTGTTTATTAATTGTGTGCTGGGGATGTAAATCAGGGCCTTGTGCATGTTAGACAAGCACTCTGCCACTGAACCACAATGGTAAATTTTACATCTGTGTCTTTCAAGACAATTTAGTTTATTTTAAAATGAATTTGAGCATTATTAATTTTTAACTGAACTATTCAAAAAGTACCCAAATATTCATATCTGCACAAACTATATTTTAAAAATTAATTTAAATGTTAAGAATTTTTTAAAATTAAATTTCTGGTTACTGTTTTCAAAATACATTTACTCTTTAGAAAGGTCGTTTTGAACACCACTAACTTGCTTGATTAAGCTAAATACCTAATCAATCGAGTATTTGCTACCCAATATAGGAGACCATAGCCTTCCTTTCCAACTCAGTATCAATCAGTGGGTGAAAATAGAGCCTTTCCTACCACAAAAGTATCCAAATGCCTTTCAAAGAAACAACAAAAAGAACACAGTAGACTCATTTGCCATTGACTTCAGGAATTATGTTATTTTCCAAAAACACAAACTTAGGTTAAGTACCTGCCCTAAGAGAATTTTTGCTTACTTAAGGAAAGACACTATGTTATGTATAATCACAAAATATCTATGGGATACTTATGACATAAATACTTTTCCACAGTATTGTCCTTCGTGTATTTATCAATGATTTATCAAGCACCTGTTGGGTTGGTACCCTACAGAAGAAACAAAAAAAGCAGCAAATCAGAAGAAACAGTCCAAGTTTTTAAGGACTATCTGAAATAGCTAAATCTCCAATCTCTGAGTTGTAAAAATCTTGTCCTAACCTTGCCTTTTTCAACTACCTACATATATCACTATCTTCTTCCAAAACATCAAAATCAGTAAAATTTACTGTAAAAAATAAAATACATGATTTGAATATAAAGAATATGTCATGAAACATTTTTAACCACGCCACAATGTCATGTGTTGTATTAAATAAATATACACCAAGAAGCCTGAGAATTCATGGTTTTAATTCAACATTTGCTTTCGCATTTTTTTGTGAGCCACACCAACTTAGGAGATTTAAAGAGTGGGATTATCAACAAGCAGAAACAATTTGAAGTCTCTTTAAAACAAAAAGGAAAACTAGAAGTATTTCCTTAACACCTTCTTACTCTCTTTTTTGGTCTGCTCCTACATTGATAAAAATTCTTTGAAAGTGCTAGTTTGAAGTCACTCCTGTAACCTTATGGTGCCAGGCAACACCAAGATGAAAAACTGCCATTTGTGAACCCAGACCTACTCAACTGTCCAGCCTGACTTGCCACCATCCCCTACATATAGAGTCCGCCAAAAAAATGAATACGCACTTCAGGGGAAAGAAATGTTTCTCAACAGACGGTGTTACCCTCATATGGGGAACTCTAGAATGTTATACATTGCAGAAAACCCACTACATTGCCAGCCCTTAGACAAAAAATTGAAAAATGCATTACAGAAATCTCAATGGACCAAGGTTACTCAAGGAGCAGTTTGCCACACTAGTAAATGTCCGGAAGCTAATGGCCACCACCTTGAGCACCTCCTGTAATTGTAGAGGCCAAAGGTAACTTGTATTAATCTCCTGATGTCATTGGAATTTAGTATTTTAAAATATTCATACAATTTTTCTTTCCCTGAAGTGTGTATAAATTTTTTTGGTGGACACAGTTTATATAAGCTCTGAGACACACTATGACAAACATCACTGAACTCATTTTAAAACACGTTTTAGGAAATCTTTTGAAATGTTACACACTACATGTTACAGAATTTTCTTTGTTTCTTCTTCACATTTTTCTTTTCTGAGAATCCTCAGGGGAAAATAATTAACTTAGACTTCAATTTCAGAAAAAAAAATCCTACTTTGAAGATTTGATTTGTTCTCATCCTAATTGGCATGGATTATTTAATTAGTATTTTCTTTTTGCCTGTTTCATGAAAATTTAAAGCCAAATTTGCCCTATGAGATATCCAATTCCTCTAGCTCCACTTTCAACATGATTATTTTGCTTGCAGTAGTCTGAGTCTGCATCTCCATCCAAAAAATGTGTACATATAATAATCCATGAATAATAACCCATGGTGTGTACCGTATTTATCTGTTCACCTGCCAATGAACACCTGTATTGATTCCATATCCTAACAACTGTGAACAGGGCCACAGTAAACATGGGAAGGCAGGGAGCTCTTAAGTGTGCCAATTTAGTTTCCTTCATGTATGTAGCCATGAATGGTAAAGCTGGATTATATGGCAGTTGTAGGCTTTTGAGGAACCTTCATGCTGTTTTTCATAGTGCCTATACTAATTTATATTTCCACCAAGACTTTCTGAGGGTTCCTTTTCCCTGACCTTATAGTCAGAATGTTACTTTTTGTCTGTTTTGATAATAACCAGTCTGATGGAGGTAAGATGGAATCTCAATGTAGTTTTTATTTGCATTCCCCTGATGGCTACAGATGTTGAGCATGTTTTCCTATATTAATTAGCCAATAATAATAATCATTTTCTCCCCCTTTTTCCCCTTTTCTTCTTTCTTTCTTTACTTTATTGGCGTATTTTTGGAGTATAAAATATTACATGCATCATGCAAATTTGGCATATATACATAAAGTATCTTAATTCTTTTTACATACTCTTCCCCTCCACTACTTTCCTGCCCCATCTCCAGTCCCCTTCCCATTTGCAAAAGATCTGTCTTGCGGTTTCCACTATCTTTTTTTTTTTTTTTTTGTACCAGGGATTGAACTCAACCTCGTGCTTGCCAGGCAGGTGCTTATACCACTGAGCTAAATCCCTAGCCCTTTTATTCTTATATATAGTTTGGGCTCTCATAAAAGAGAAAAATGTGATACTTAAGCATATATCTGATTTTTCATTTAACATTATGGTCTCGAGGTACATTAATTTTCCTACAAATGACTCAAATTCCTCTTTATAGCAAAGGTGTCTAAATACACATTTTCTTTATCCATTCATCTGTTGATCAACATAAAGGCAGTTTCCAAGATTTAGGTATTAATATTGCTCTAAAAATATGGGCATGAATGTATCATTGTAATATAATGTGTTTAACACTTTCAGGAAGATACCTAGAAGAGGAATCAGCAGCTAAGTCAAGTAGTGTTTTAGTTGTACTTTTTGGAGGAATTTCAATATTGATTTCCTTAGGCTGTACTAGCTTACATTCCCACCAACAATGTAGAAAGGTTTCTTTTTTACAGCCTCACCCACATTTGTTATTTGATTCCTCATGACAACCATTCCTTCTGAAGATGGAATTTCATTCAGGGTTTTAAATTTCATTTTTCTAATGCCCACATATATGTTGAGCACTTTTTCATGAATTTAATTTACTGGATAGTTTTCTTCTTGTGACATATGTATTCATTTTAATTGCCATTTGAATTGGGTCTTTTATTTTGAGGGGCTTTTTTTTGAGATCTTAATACAGTCTGGAAAATTAGTCCTCCGTCTGAGGAGTACCTGGAAAAAAGTGTTCCCATTCTGTAGGTCTCTACACCCTTTTGGCTGCTTCTTCTTCTATGGAGCTTTTTAGTTTGATATAACCCCATCTGTTGATTCTTCAAGTTATTTCCTGTGCAATTGGGGTTCTGTTCAGAAGTCCATGCCTATGTTAATGTCTTTGAGAGTTTACCTATTTAATCTTTCAGGAGGTTAAGTGTTTCTGTTCTAATATTTACATCTTTGACTTATACTTCTTGTAAGTGCCTGTTTAGTCCATTTATTAAGTGTAATACTGTTTTTTGATGTTTGAATTCTTTTTTTTTACATGTCCTGAATATTAGTCTTTTGTCAGATTTGGTCTCTTTGGGTCTTTTGTGCTTCCATGTGAATTCTGAACTACCATTTCTAGTTTTTTGAAGACTACTGATATTTAAATGGGCACTGCGTTGAATCTGTGGAACACCATTTTAAAAATATTAATTCTTCTTACCCATTAACACAGGAGATCTTACCATCTTTTAGCCTCTCCTTCAATTTCTGTGTTGTGTAATTTTCATTATAGAGGTTCTTCACATCCCTGGTTAGGTTTAGTCATAGGTCCGGAGGGTGTTTCTTGTTGTTGTTGAGACTACAGTGAATGGAACTGTTCTCCTGATTCGTCATTGTTCTTATTGTTATACTGGGGACTGAACCCAGGACATTCACTGAGCTATATCCCAAGACCCCCTTCTTTTTTTTAACATTGTAACAGTCACTAGACTGCCCCTGCTAAATTTAAACTGGTGATCCTCCTACCTCAGACTCCCAGAGTGCTGGGATTACAGGTACGTGCCTGGCTTGCTAGTTTCCTTCTCAGCAAGTTCATTATTGATGTAAAGAAACAATGGTGATTTTTGCGTGCTGCTAGTTTGATGAATTTGTTTATTCTAAGTCTTTTTAGTGGAGCTTTTAGGATTTTCTCAGTATTGAGTATCATCTGAAAACAGGTGTACTTTGACCTTCTCCATTCCTTTTATTCCCTTTCTCCCCCTTGCCTGACTGCTCTGTTTAAACTTTCCAGTGCTGCACTGTTTTAAGTAAGAGTAATGAGCTGCCCACAGTGCCACACACCTGTCATTCAGCACTCAGAAGCCTGAGGCAGGAGGGTGACCACTACTTCAAGACCAGTCTGGACTACATAATGACATTCTGTCTCAAAGAAAGGAGGAAAAAAAAAGAGAATGGTGAGAAGACACCCATTCTTCCTTCCTGATTTCAGAAGGAACACACTCAGCTGTTGGCACTTAGTATGACACTGGCTACAGGTTAGTCATGTATACCCTTTA